ATTCAATTTTCTAATCATTTTATTTGTTCGTAGAAAGTAATTAATACCAAAGTAAGTCGTGAACGTATTGGAATAGAGGTGGATAAAATGATAAAAGGTTTCTTTTAATTATATTTATAAATACATTATACTTAATTTGCCATATAAGTTGCTAACGATTAGATCATTCCCGTAGGTCCTCATCCAGCTTTGTCAATTAAACTTATACATGAATTGGGTTTATATGATACTATATTCGCCCCTCCACAAGATTATCACGGAACTTTAGATGACTCAAAGACTGCTGTTTGTCTTGCAAAAATTTTGGAATGGTTATTAATATTTTATATTTATTTTATTTTAGAATTTTTTTTTTAATAGTTTCAATATTAAACAAAATCCATTATAACGTTCATTCAATGATAGGCTCTTGTTAACATCGAATGAAAACCACCTTCACATGAACCTTTCATCTCGAACCCCTGAAGATATCAGGTTACTTTATTTGGCATCATTTTTAGCTCCTCATAAGAATATAGAAATTGTATCAAAAAAAAAGAATTATACGAGTTTTCATCATGTTATTAAAGAAAGCCTCAGAGTATATATTTTCATCAACTTTCATTTTCCGACAAAATAACCTTGTGATGCGAATTTATTATAATCTTGAAATAGTTGAAGAGTTCGGATGCTGACATCACGAAAAAATTTTTTTCTTTCGTTGATCCAATCACTACTGCTGCGAATCGAAATCTGGTTGCTCCATTGGATAGAAAATCGCTTGGTATTCGCTTTATATGGAATTTATATATTTCATTTATCATATTTCTTACTTGTTTTTATTATTACAACAGGTCTTTTAATTCGTGATATTGGATCACAATGGCAAAATGCTTTTATTTTGGCGTTGATATGTGAATTACTACCGAAATTTTCCGACATAGAATCGGAGAATCGTAAGTTTTAAATGTGAATTTCATAAATTGATAACTTTGAAATTTTACTGAAAATCTTTTGTAGTAAAAGAACCGTACAAAATTATCGAAAAATATAACAAGTTGGTTGATCTTATAACTGAATTGGGACTACTGAATTGTTTTAATGATAAGCCTATTATTAATGTGATTATTCTGTTTCCATGATTCTTAATAATGCATTCGGTTTGATTTTCTTTATTTTGTTAATTGTTTTATATTTTTGTTAATAGGGTAAAGAACTTGCAACTTTATTAAATATCAAACAAGGTGTAATAATAGGAGAAATTCAAAAATCGGTAATAGAATGGCAATTGGCAAATGCTGGTGGAAGTAAAAAATGGTGTGAAGAATATATTAAGAATAAATATAAAAATATTTAAGTTTTAACCAAAAAAAACTTTTCAATGTTTATTTTTGTCAACAATTATCTTTTTCTTTGGAGAGTACTGATTTGTAGATAAAATATCATATCTATTGTATCAATCATTTCTACATCTTCATTTTTATTATCGATAAAAACTTGGTTTTAAGAATTTAGTGCTTATTCCTTAAACCGTCCGGTTTAGCGGGCAAATTTGTTTGCTAAAATATTTATAGAAAAATTAGCACCAAAAAAAATTTTTTAATGAAAATACTAACTTGAATTGGTTAAAACGTTCCTAGAAGTGAAGATCACATAGTAATACTGCAGTTACCTCATGATGCATACCATGTGACCCAAACGAAGAAAAAAACTATGTAAAATATGTATCGTTTATGTCTTGAAAATTTACTTGAAAAGAACTTTTGGAATTGCATTGTAGGATTTAATTTTAAACTATCAAGATCCAGGAGAAATAAAATCGCTATGTAATATGGGTATTTATTCATAATAAAATTTTAAGTAATTTATATAATTTAAAACGGTATTACTTTACTATGTAAAGCAGAAATCTCAATAATTCCATTATCGAAAAATGCTGTTACATGAAAATAAACGCTCAGATATCTATACCTAACTCGATAACAATAACCAACTTTAAACATTCCATCAAAAATTACCCGTCTCAGCAGATTTTTATCAAAAAAAAAAAAAAAAAGGCCAATGTTAAACCTTTTAATTTCTATTCAATTTGATAATAATCTGCAAGGTTATATCTGCAGTAACATCTCCTATTCCAGCAAATTTTGGTTTCTACTTTTAACATGAAAGTTCAAAAAACAATTTCTACTGCTATTGCAGTATAGAGATACATTATATATGATATACCAAAGCTGGTTTTGATGTAGTGTTTTACAATCCAGATCCAAATTTTTCTTGCTTGCTCACCAAGTGCATCATTGACTTTTCTTTCCACTCTGCAAAATGGTTGCCAGGCACAAGCCATTGGTTTGAAAGTTCAAAATGTTTTGTCATCTTTGGCCATTTGATTTCTTTTTTTTTCTTTGTTATTTATTTATTTTTTTTTGATCTATTCTTTAATTGAATTTCTTTAGTATTATTTACAATATTTATAAGGTTCCAAATAAGTTCAAGATAAAATTTTTTATGCCTTTGGGTTGATCCAAGGATTTGGGTGATACAGTATATGTTAACAATTACAACATCAAGAAGCTAAAAAAAAAGTAATATATAATTCTTCTGTACTGTTTGTTGGATATTGTAATATGATTGTAGTTGATTTGTAATATTTATACCATTCATACAATAGTTGTAATCATCAATAATTTTAGGAATTTTGTTTTTTTTTTTGATTTAGAATCAAATACTGCATACATCTTGGTCACATTGGTGCATATTTTTCTTGGCTGTTGTCTTTCTTATTTAATTTCTTATTGGTCACTAACAAGACCATGAATTATTGACAATATCATTACTAGACCATTGTCTTGCCAAAATATTATTAATACTCTATTGATTATAATATCAGAATTTATATTCTAATTAAGTTGACTATTTTTTTCAATTTTTATTTCTTTTGAAAACCCAGATAAGTCTCAATATCAATATTTTTAAAATTTTGAAAAAGAGTAATATTAGAAATTTGATATGGAAGCTATATAACAAAATAATAAACTAGATTTCTAATTTGGTTGAGCCTATTCACTTTTGCTACTTTTCAAGAAGAAATACACAAAGTTAGTAAAAATGTATAGATATAACTAGAATTACAAAATAATATAACCTAAAATCCTTAAGAATTGGCTTGTTTTTTATTTGAATAGTATGAAAGCTTTATTCAGAAAATTTTACTATCATTTCATCAATTGAAATAGTTAATCTGGAAGTATAAAGTTGTTTCAAAATATTTTGAATATGTGAGAGCAATGGCTCTAACTTGTCAAAATAGTTTTTAATAGTTTTAGTAAAGAGGAGATATAGAGATACCTTTTTATTTGCTCAAAATACTTCAATAGTATTTGTTTCGAAATATAATGAAGGAGAACTTGAGATTCTTATTTCAATATTGGTTGAGAGAAGACAACTTAAAAATGTTCTGATAGATAATCAAAGCAATTCAAATAATTAGTTCATTGTGACTTAAATTAGTTTATTGTCTGCTAGTAATACTGGTCTCATTAATTAGTATATAAGAGTTTATATTAATTACTATTTGATCTAATAAATATTTATAAAAAAATAAAAAAAAAGATTAACTAGTTTTAAGAAACCAATATTATAATTTGCTAGCAAATTGATAAACCCCCAATAAAACAACTTAATATGAACTAGAGATTCAAAATTTAGTAGTAGTGGTAATATTTGTATAGTACTTAAATATTTGCTAACTTTTGAAAACTTTTCAGATTTCCTTTTTTTTTTTTTTTATCATTTGAGCTTGATCTTAGACTTTTTAAAAACTTTGGCAAAAGGTAAGAATTAGTATAA